GATAAAACTACAATTGCCCTTTCCTAAATAGCATTTGAATAGACTCTACTGTCAAGATAGTTTCATTGTATCTACTTATTATTTTTGCATGCTACTGCTTGCTTAAACTCACATTTTTTTACTTGATTGGTCAAATGTCTAAAAGAGTACATTTTAATCTTCCCACCCCAAGTCTTATACCACGTTCTGATAGGTTTTGGCTCCCAGGTGTCTGGTACCTGTATCCGTTTCCTGGGACTCCACTGGCACCTAAAGAGTAATGGCTATCAATAACACACTCATGACCCTTGGAGATAAGGGCCGAGCTCCTCAAGGAGGTGAAAGAGCACAAAAATGAGTAAGAACTGGGTGAGACCTTGAAGAAAACTGAAAAATAACTTCATCTGAGACAGCAGGGAACAATCTGTATTCTGCAATGGTAAATGGGCTTTTTAAACAAAGGTGAGAACCAAGCAAGCACGTTAGGAAACGTAAGAAAACCGACCGGTGGGGACCAGCAGTTGGCGTAATGGCTATGTCGCTGGACTCCCATGTAGCCAACTGTGGTTCGAGTCCCGGACCTGGTGGCTTAAATTCACGCTGGGTGCGTGTGCGTGCGTACCCAAGATCCTGAGAGGAGAATGGAGAAGAAGGGATTGTGGCGTGGCCATCCCCCCGGGGGGAGAATTCTCGCTTTCTATCTCTCTGTCTCTCTCTGTGTTTCTGGTGAGCTCATGCGCCCTATAGCAAACCCCCCCCCCAAAAAAAAAAAAGAAAAAGAAAACCTACTGGTGGATGTGTGAGTCCAAATGCATAAGTATGACTCAAGGAGAACAGAGCCAAACAGGAGTAACGCAGCAGAAAAGAATACCCTGGGGCTTCTTAAAAATCCACTTGACAAAAACCACCCGGCAGTTGAGAGTACATTTAAACCACAGTTAAATGTATAATGGGGCTCCTGGAAATGAGAGAGCAAGAGTACACAAAAGTGAAAGAGCTTCTGTGTAAAGGCAAAGGGTAAGACACTACTAGATGGGAAAAAAGAGGAGAGAAAGAAAACATCAAAATGTTCACTCCGATATCTAAAAATTCCGACGTGTTCAAAATATGTATGTGTATTTTTTTATCCCCATATCAAAACTGTTTTGTGCCATTTTTTAAAAGCCTTTAAACCTGAGCTAATGTCTTTTTTAAGTACCCCACATAAACTGTCTAACTAAAAGAACAAGACTGTATGCTGGCCAAATTGCGTACAATAGTTACAAAGCAGACTAAGAAAGTAATCAAATAGCCAAGTCCTAAACGTTTTCCTGATACTTAGAGACTTACCAGTTGAAAAGGTTATTTATTAGGTACTCGCACAGTAAGGCAGAGTGGAAGCTGGCAGGGAAAGGATATACAGCACAGCCTTTCACAGGTTTAACAACCTAACAGCAGAGACATGGGCACTGCGACACATGCCTCAGCTAATGGAAAAACAGGTATTTACATATCACCGAATACGATTCCCTACTATTTGTGACGGACACACAAAACTCTCAGCAAGAAAGCTTCCTCCTTGTGACCAACAAGACTGGCCCTTCTGCAGGTAACATCAAGAGCCAACACACATGCTACACTGAACAAGAATGGAGGGGAGAGGCCAGCAGGTGGTGTGGTGGTTAAGGCGTTGGACTCCCTTATGGCCAACTCTGGTTCTAGTCCTGGACCCAGTGGTTTGAAGCTCATGCCAGGCATGTTTGCCTCTCTGCCCAGCATCCCAAGAAGAGAATGGAGGAGAAGGGAATGGGGCATGGCCATCCCTAGTGGCAGGGTGATTTCTCACATCCTCTCTGTCTCTCTCTTGGGTGAGTACACACACCCTATGGTAAAAACCTAAACTTGAAGCCAAAATAATAGAGGGACCAAAAAAAAGGGATTTCAGGATAGAGTTTGGTCAGTAAATAGCTCGAGTCAGAGAGTGGACTATTAAAATAAATTCTCGTTTTAAATGAGCTATTTATTTGCAAGTTGATCTGCAGGATATACTCTGAACAAGGATAATGTCAGAAGCTGGTTATTATGGGAAGGGGGAAGAACTCAATAAAAATCTGAGGTCAGAAACTTATAAAACCCACTAGGGTGGATGGCAAACAAAAAGAAAAAAATTGTATTTTTTAAAACTTTGCAGAGGGCACATGGGCTGGGGGTGGGGACGAATGTGAGAAGCACACCCGTGTGGAATGATCACAATGCCTTCTCCATTTGCGGACTTTGGGCGTGCACACACATCTCTCTGGCTTGATTTTCAAACCTCAGGGCCTGGTACTTGAACCACACAGTTGGATGTGTGGGATCCATACCACCTTAACTACCACACCGCTGGATGGCCCAAAATGTATTCACTCATTTTTCATTCCCATGATGCTGTTATAGCCCTACCACTACCACCCCTAACTGAAATAAGGAAAATGACATGGCGGTTGACTGTAAGCAGAATCTGTCAACGAAATGTTACAAAACAAAGTCAGTCTGTTCAAACTTTAAAACAGACTAAAAGAGGGGACCAGCAGATGGCGCAGCAGACACATCGCTAGACTCCCATGTGGCCAACCAAACCAATGGTTTGAGTCCTAGACCCAGTGGCTTGAAAATCATACCAGGCACATGTGTATGCATGCCCAAGAGCCCGGGAGAACTGAGGAAGAGGAGAAGGGGCTCTAGCGTGGCCACTGCACAGGCAGGGTGGTGGTAGTGGAGGTGATTTCTTACTTCCCCTCTTACTTTCTGTCTCTCTCCAGCATGTGCACACACCCTAAGGCAAAAACCAAGCTCGTTATTTGATACATAAGAAACTAAAGCCACATATCTGTCCAAGGTTACAGAGGTGACCTCCAATATCCTGCTGGAAAACTAGAGGAGGCGATCTAGCTGTGTACGTGCCTCAGCAATCAGAGGAGGTGGGCCCAATGGTTTGAGTCCTAGACCCAGTGGCTTGAAAATCATACCAGGCACATGTGTATGCATGCCCAAGAGCCCGGGAGAACTGAGGAAGAGGAGAAGGGGCTCTAGCGTGGCCACTGCACAGGCAGGGTGGTGGTAGTGGAGGTGATTTCTTACTTCCCCTCTTACTTTCTGTCTCTCTCCAGCATGTGCACACACCCTAAGGCAAAAACCAAGCTCGTTATTTGATACATAAGAAACTAAAGCCACATATCTGTCCAAGGTTACAGAGGTGACCTCCAATATCCTGCTGGAAAACTAGAGGAGGCGATCTAGCTGTGTACGTGCCTCAGCAATCAGAGGAGGTGGGCCCCGGAGAGCAGAGGAAGCCCTGTTTGCCTCCACTGTCCACGTGGTCTGAACGTCAACACACAGCCCTGTATCTGAGACTGTCACGTGGCGGGCAGCCCTGTAGGGCAGTGCTTAAGCACCGTGCACAAAAAAAAAAAACAGACTGCTCATGGCCGACCACATTTCAAATCTGGCCCCAGATGCCTGAAAAACATGCCAAGCATTTGTATGTGCATACCCAAAATCCTGATAGGATGGCAGAAAGGAGGAAAAGGGACTGCGCTGTGACCATTCTGTGTTGAAGATGTTTCCCCTCCCTTGCTCTCTCTCAAACAAAGCTATAAATCCTCTGGCAATTAAAACAAAACTATGTCATATCGAAAATAAATGCCAATAGTGTAACAAATCACTTAAAAGAGATCTGATTCTGAAAGAGCAACTAAAAAGCTGGAACTCTTTGGGTGCATCTGTGTATTTACAGCTACTGAGGCCACAATGTTCATGTGTACCAAGAGATTGTAACGGTTGCTTTTAGGAAGAGAAAGAAAAAAAAAAAAAGCTTCACGTCTCCAGCCACATGGTACAAATATAAAAACTTTCTTCCCTACCTAAAATTGATGTTCTTCTCTCATCCTTGTGCCTAGCCAAAAATGGTAAACAACTTGCAAACGGTACTTTTCCTTCCTCAAGCAGATACACAAAATTCAGGAAGAACTGGTGGAAATTACTTCTGTGGGATAATGTCGAAGCTCAGATCACCATCTTTAGAAACTGCTAAACATATCCCAAGTTCCCCATGGCAAGGTCCCTGCATTATTCCAGGAAATCTTGGCTAACTCCCAGATTCTTCAGCACAGAATAAAGTTCACTCATCCTTTAATGCCCAGCACAATGCCCTCTACAATACACAATACAGTAACCATACTGGCACATAATAGCTCAGTAAATCTTTGTTAAATTGAAGAAAATTCGGGACCAGCGGTTGGCGTAATGGCTATGTCAATGGACTCCAATGTGGTCGACCACAGTTTGAGTCCCAGACTCGGTGGCTTAAACTCACACCGGGCACATGTGTGTTCATGCCCAAGATTCTGAGAGGAGAATGGAGGACTAGGGATTGCAATGTGGCCATTGCATCTGGGGGGTGATTTCTCACTTTCTGTCTCTCTGTCTCTATCTTTTTGAAGAGCACATGTGCCCTATGGCAAAAACCTCTCAAAAAAAAAAAATTTTTTTTAAGAAAATTTATCCCAGGACCAGCAGTTAGCGTAATGGCTATGTCGCTGGACTCCCACATAGTCAACCGTGGTTCGCAACCTGGACCCAGTGGCTTAAAACTCACGCCGGGCGTGTGTGCGTGCAGGCCCAAGATCCCGAGAGGAGAACAGAGAAGGGACTGTGGCGTGGCCATCCCCCCTGGGGGGTGATTTCTCGTTTTCTGTCTCTCTGTCTCTTTCTGTCTGTCTGGCGAGCACACGCACCCTATAGCAAAAACCTCTCCAAAAAAAAAAAGTCTACGTGGAAAGGTAGGTAGAGATTACTAGAGACTTTACTACCCTGTCCAGGTGTTTTTGTTTGGTTTTGGATTGCATATCCCCCAAGGGGGGAAAAGCACATTTAAAAAGAGAAACAACAGATGGTTCACTCCAGCATCCCCTTCCACGCTGCCAAATGTGAATAACGCATACACAGAATCACAGAGACATCCACATGTTCTGTTTACAAATGTACACAAATGAGACACAAACCTTTACAGCTCCAAGTTGCTCTTTTCTGAATTTTTCCAAAGGTTTAATCAGGGTTTCGGTTACACTTAATGCCTAGAGAAGGAGAGTGATAACAAAAGAGCATGGTATTAGATTTCCGAAAAGGAAAAAATTCCTATTTCATTTCCCTCTTCCACCCCACCCAGAAATAAAATGAACAACACATTTAACTGCTTTATCTCACTCTGCCAGTGCAACAATTAAATCACTTCTCCACTGACTAAACTAGAACCCCATAAATATTTTCAGGGAAGAGGAGGTGGGGCAGATAGAAAGGGAAATGTCACTCAACCCCAACATCTTCCATGAAGTAGCAAAGGGGCTGTCTTTAAAAACAAAGGGGTCTATCATTTTCATTAACAGAACACTTCTGTCTGTGATGTTTTTCCTTCCCTCCCCCTCCTCAGAAATTTAAAATTCAATTACATTCCTTTATTGGTGATCAGACTACATTATGTAAAAGGCTAAGAGTGACTACTGGCTTAAATACAACCAGTCTGCCCTTCATCACTGAACCTTCCTCATAAGGATTTAAGGTATATGAAGAAGGTGGAGCCCCTGCAGGCTCACAAGGCTACGGTAATACCTGGGCAAGCCAGCAGACATTACATACGAGAGGGTCGACACACGAGGCATTACATACGAGGCAGGAGCCACACACTTCAGTTATATTCATTGTTCTTTTAAAGAATTATTTTTATTTAAAATCCTTTTCCTTCATTTCTTTTTCTTTCTTTCTTCCTTCCCTTCTTTCTTTCCTTCTCTGTCTCTCTTTCTTTCTCTTCCTTCCTTCTTTTTAAATTTGACCAGAGTGAGAGAGGGAAAATGAGAGAGCAAGCTGCTAGGTCCAGGACCTAAACCATGGTTGGCCAGTGCCTTTAACCACCAAGCCACTTGCCACCTCCCCAAATTTGTTCCTGATATTGGCTAGTTTGAGGCTTTTCAATTTAAGCCACAAAATACTGGCAATGCAAATAAAAGGGAATACGCGCCTAAAGAGAACATGCTTGCTAATATGCTGGTTAGCGATGGCTTTCTCACTCCCTCTGGATACTCCCAGAAGTATCCAGAAAAGAGTAAGAAACCTCCAAACACTAGACACGAATGTGCCATCCACCTTACAAAGGCCTCCAAAAATCCACAGTTAAAATTTTAGAAAAAAGGGAGGCCAGAAGGTGATGCAGCAGTAAAACGCAACGCTCTGCGAAGCTGACCCATGCAGAATCGTTCCTGGTTCACACCTGGAGACCTCTCTGAGTAGAGGGCACCCATGGTGCCTGGGATCTGGTGCTGGTTGGGGTTGGATTGTGGCATCAAGGCTCTGTTGGGGGTGTGGTCTTGTCTCTTGTTTCTCTCACTCATGGAAAAAAATTAACTTTTTCTAAAATTCTTCCAAAATTTTAGAGAGTAAGCTACTTTAAAAAAAAAAAAAGGATGGGACCAGCAGTTAGTGTAATGGCTATGTCGCTGGACTCCCACGTAGTCAACTGCGGTTGGAGTCCCAGACCCAGTGGCTTAAACTCACGCCGGGCGCGTGTGCGTGTGTGCCCAAGATCCCGAGAGGAGAATGGAGGAGAAGGGATTGCGGCGTCGCCATCCCCCCTGGGGGGGTGATTTCTCGCTTTCTTTGTCTCTGTCTCTCTCTGTCTGTTTGGCGAGCGCACACGCCCTATAGCAAAAACCTCTCAAAAAAAAAAAAAAAAAA